TTTTTTTTTTTTTTTTTTTTTTTTTTTTTTTTTTTTTTTTTTTTTTTTTTTTTTTTTTTTTTTTTTTTTTTTATGTTTATCATTTGTTTATTTACTGTTTTTCAAATCATTTTATATATTTTTTTCCAACTCAATCATAAGCAGAAAACTCCAATCAGTCACCGTGTTCGGACTACAATATGATTACTTAAAAATGATGAACTTTACCAAAAATCTCATTTATTAATCATGAATTATCTTGAGACAATAATGTTTTAGTTATTGTTATTTAGTATTTAGATTCACAGTTTATAAAACTATAAATAATCAAAATACAATAAAAATAGAGATATTGTAAAAATATAGAAATTACAAAAATATCCATGTAGTTACTCAAATAACACAACTAAAAACATTAATCAAAACACAAATAATACATAATTAATTAACATATAAAGTATAACATAAATGCTAAAAATGGAAAGCAGCTTTATATGGTATCAATACCAAAAATTTTGAACAGACCCTTGAACTCACTGTCACCAACACTGGAGTGAATAAAACCTACAACATCTTTTATTCATATTTGCTTCTACTCAACGTAATAAAGTTTGTCCATTTTTCTCTTAAAGGACATTTTTAAGAAGGAGCAATGTACGATTAATTTTTTGTTACATTTCACGGTAATTAAATGAGCATTAACAATTATATCATGAATAATTAAATATGTTTTTGTGTGCGAGTCTAATACTAAAAGAGGGTTTAATGCGTTTATGACAATTTTATAATGTATTGAACTTTACGGTGGTGGTAGCTATACTAACCCTAATAGAATGTTACAAATCAGAGAAGTAACTATAAGATATGTAACAGTATGTTTGTATATAAGAAAGGAAAATCAAAAACGCATCATTTGATCAAGGCCTAAAACAGATGTTCTTTAAAACTGTAATGTATCGAGAGGAGACAATCACGCTCATATTTCGCTTTAATATTCTTTATCTTATTTTTCTATAATGTGAAGCATGTTCCTTTTGATAATGAAGTACTAGAGCTTCCTTGTGGAACACAAATGCTTATATAATTTGTTTTGTTGAATTTCGCGCACAGCTACTCGAGGGCTGTCTGCGCCAGCCGTCCATAATTTTGAAACGATAGACTAGAGAGAAGGCAGCTAGTCAACATCACCTACTGCCCCCTGTTTGAGCTACTCTTGACCAACCAAGAGTGGGATTGACCGTCACATTCATAATGCCTCCACTGCTGTAAATGTAAGCATGTTCGGCGACGGATTTCGATCCCGCGATCCGCAGATTGCAAGTTGACCGCCTTAACCATCAAGCCATGCAATGCCGCTTATACGATAATATAATATTTTGTGGATAACTTCATTAGTTCTTTCTACCGAACTAAAAGAAAAATTATAAGCAACTTTACAACAAATAACGATGTTTATTTTACAGTTTCAGTAAGAAAAAAAGCGAGACATGACTATGCCAGTGAAACAAAAAGTCAATCTAAACAGTAAGTAGAAGAAGAAGAAAAACTTTACTCTCAGTGCAACTTGGAAACATAAGCTACTTTCCGAATAAAATATTTTTTACGACCTAAAAGTGTATTAAAATTTATTAGAGAAGATAGCGTTTCATGTCGTTAAAAAACTATAAATATATATACCTTAGAGCCTTCTTCTTTGGATATTAAATTTAATAAACCTAGTTGGTTCCTACAGTTATTTACCGTAAATCACCATCCATTGACTCTCGGAGTCCTCATCCGCTATAGATGCAACGTTACACGTGTACTTTCCACTCAGATCGGTAGTTGGACGAAGAATTTTCAGAGCCCGGTATTTGGTAAACTCGGAAGATGGGAATATGGTATAGCTCATATTGATCCGATCTTGGAGTCTGTAGGAAGGCTGTCGGGAGTGGAGCTCAGGGATCCACTGGTAGATAGGCTCAGGATCGTTATTCAAGAACCACTTGACAACAAGATGTCGATCTTCAGTAGAATAGCTATACTCGCAGTCCAGCACCACTGAAGTCTTTGTGCCATTTTCTATCCAGCGTGGTACAGTCACTTTAGTTATTTCTAACCCTAAAATCAACCGATATGAACACACTGAAATAACACGTTAATACAAGTCATTTTCTATAAAATTAGAAAAGTAAATTTAATTTCGAATAGATGTGTTTTCTTTGCAAATATTTTCGTGTATTAGTTTATCTAAATCATACCTGTCCACTACACACACACACTCTAAATCATACCTGTCCACTGCACACACACGCACTCTAAATCATACCTGTCCACTGCACACACGCACTCTAAATCATACCTGTCCACTGCACACACGCACTCTAAATCATACCTGTCCACTGCACACACGCACTCTAAATCATACCTGTCCACTGCACACACGCACTCTAAATCATACCTGTCCACTACACACGCACTCTAAATCATACCTGTCCACTACACACGCACTCTAAATCATACCTGTTCACTACACACACTTAAAAAGAATGTTATTCGAAACCAGTAGCAGGACGCTCTTTTTTTTTAAACAAGTTTCATTTTGTAGAGGCTTTAAGGTGGCGTCGTTAAAATTCCATTCCCCAATTTTCTGCAGCTGTCAACTGCTTTGGTCGGCTTTAAAAAATTACCATATTGGATGTCAATAATATTTGAAAGTAACAGTCAGAACTTTAGTATAAAATTGATGTACTTGTTTTTGGAAAATATTTTTATTTACCAATATTTCTTCCCTCTGTACAGCGAATCTGATACTCTCTCTCTTCAGTTAAAATCTTGTCCCGAAAGTTCTCTGTTTTATCTTTGGAAGAATTTGTGTATTGCATTTCACACATCATAGCTTTCAAAGTTAGTTTCCATTGGATACACACGGATCTCCATCTCAAGCTATCCCCCGGTAGCTCAGCGCTAGCCTTGAGGATTTGTTTTGCTAAAATTCGGAGTTCGATCTCAGATATAGACGCAATGATTATAGCTTATTGTGCAGCTTTTCGCTTAACTGCAAACAAAAACTTCCTCTGGAGTTCGCAGTAATTATTTTTCATTTAGGTTGTTTATTTACCCTTTAAGAGATTCTTTACCACACGTATATGACAAAGAAATCTGTGTAAAATTACTTGCACGACCTTTACTTTTGTGTTTCAATTCGAGCCCTCGAGGTAACGTGTCTTGGGGAACCTATCATACTAAATCACATTTCACATCATTCACAATGTCTAGAAGTAAATGAATAGTAAAATGGCATAATATAAACATAAAACATGACTCTATAACAAGTTAAGATATAAAATCAATATATGCGAGATTACAAAAAGTGTAAGCAGCAAGAATCAAGATTAAAATTTAAAAGTTGCAACTTACTATTGCCCATTACAACGATGATTCATTCATACTCTATATCCCTATATTTATTTTGAAATGAAAGTAGCAAGCGTACGCGCATTAATTTGCCTGAGAATCGTCATTTCTTAACATGCCTAAAAACCTCTACATTTCATTTTGCTGATAAAACATATAGAAAAAGAACTTTCGACCATAGAAGTGATATACAGAATTGAGGAAAAACAATACAATTGTACGTTTCACAGATACATCATATATCCACGATCATGGTTTCGCCAGTAAAGGCATCACGAGGTACTGGCGAAACCATGATCGTGAATAAATGATGCATTTGTGAAACATACAATTGTATTGTTTTTCCTCAATTCTGTAATTACGAAGTTTTACCTAGTACCGACAGTCTCAAGTATTAAGTAATATACAGTTCTTTACTGGTTATGACATGTGATATCTCAAAAATGTTAATGCGTGTAGCTTAGTGGAAGCAGAAAATCTATAGACAGAGACTGACTGATATGTACACAACAAACCACATTTTTCTTTTGTATAGGCCATATGACTGGCATGTGGCTTTAGAGGATATAATATCTCCCCACAAACACACACACAACTCCCGATAAGAAAATTTACGTGAAGTGAGATAATAGGGGGGACGTACGGCTTGCAAAAGTATGTGTGGAAAAAAAAAGTTCCGTGAGAGCTAAAATGGACTTTTTTATAAATTCAGAAAACTAGGTTGGAAACGAGTATCAGATAGATAATTAGACGAGCTGAATTATTTGGTCTTGTAAATTAATTTTCACGGCTATTCTATAATTGCTATCTCTATTTTGAATCAAAGTACTATATATATATATATATATGTGTGTGTGTGTGTGTGTGTGTGT